AGGACTCATTAATCTATCTATCCAGATTAACCGTCGTCTCAGGGAGCGAAGATTAGAAAGGTCTTCTGGTCAACGCCACCCAGTTTGGATGCTACCCAGGGCACCTCCACCAGGAAGTATGGCACCAACCAATGCCGCACCCTAAGTCAAGGAACCTGAACCAATGCAGTTGGGATTATTGCGCTCCTCTCTAACACCTGAAGAGTGCCAACATCGCCAACAGAACAATTTGTGCCTCTACTGTGGGGAATCTGGCCACTACGTACGAAACTGTCTTGCAAAGCTGCGTAAGTGCCTGACCATCTCGTCTGCTAATTTGCTAATTTGCCATTTATGCCTGTCAGCCCCGCTCACGTTGCTCTCGAATCTCATTTTAGCTTCCGTAAAGAATCCTTCCAGTTTCCGCTATCATTGACTCCAGGGCCTGCAGCTGTTTTATCGATTTAACCTTCCCTCTTCAACACCAGATACCCTTATGAGCCAAAATGCAGAGACTTTCAGTATATTTGGCTGACAGGTCCAGCATAAAATCTGGGATGTTACCCAAGAGACTACTCCCTTGCCAGTACTATCATCACCATCTGACCACAAGGAGCTGCTATGTCTGGATGCCATTGCCTCACCTCTATTTCCGGTAATTTTATGTATCCCCTGCTTACAAGCACACAAATCCCAGCATTGACTAGGTATCTGGTAAAGTGGACTTTCAATCGGCCTACTGCAATGAACATTGTCTGCCCCCACTTCCCTCTCAACCTATGCCCCTACTGTGTATGGACATTGATACTAATTTATGTGAAGCAGTTCCTGCGGTCTATCATAACTTCTTGGATGTGGTGCTGACACTCTTCTGCCACACAGACCATATGACTGTCCAAGTGAGTTATTACCTGAGGCTGAAATTCCCTTTGGCCGGATCTTCCCGGCACTGGAGGAATATATTGATGGCAGTCTGAACAAGGGGTTCATCTGCCCTTCCACATCCCCAGCGAGAGCAGGTATCTTTTTCGTGGAAAAGAAAGATCACTCCCTCCGTCCATGTGTGGATTACCGCGAACTGAACAGAATTATGGTTAAAAACAGATACCCCCTGCCGTTAGTTCTGGAACTATTTCAGAGTCTCAGGTCTGCAACAGTATTTCCTAAATTGGACTTGCGAGGAGCTTACAAATCTGGGAAGGACATGGGTGGAAGACTGCTTTCTGTACCAGGTCTGGGCACTTCGAATACCCTAGTAATGCCCAATAGTAATGCCCTTCGGACTGTGCAATGCACCCACAACCTTTCAGCACTTTGTTAATTATATTTTCAAAGACTTCTTGGACATTTTTGTTATTGTCTATCTCAGTGACATTTTGATCTTTTCTGCATCATTGGAACTTCACTGAGGGCATGTTCTAAAGGTCCCTGGTCGTCTTAGATGACATGGACTATATGCAAAACCTGAAAAATGCGAGTTTAAATGCCAGAGCATCCAATTCCTGGGATATATTAGCTCCACTGAAGGCATCAGTATGGACCCACAGAAGGTATCCGCCATCCTAGAGTGGCCCGCACCATCAGAAAGGAAAGGAGTCCAGCGCTTCGTGGGGTTTGCAAATTTCTACAGGAAATGTATCAAAGGATTCTCTGCCATTATCTCCCCCATCAACCAGCTGACCAAACAAGGCATTTGGTTCTGTTGGACACCTGAAACTCAAATCGCTTTTGATTAATTAAAAGGACTGCTCACATCAGCACCCATTCTAAGTCACCCAGCACTACCCTTTGTTGTGGAAGTGGATGCCTCAGGAAATGCGGTTGGGGCAGTTTTATCACAATGCCAGGGCCTAAAGTCCCTATTGCATCCAGTCACATTCTTTTCCCATAAACTATCTTCTGCGGAAAGGAATTATGATGTGGGGGATCATGGACTACTTGCTATAAAATCTGCCCTGGAGGAGTGGAGATACTAGATCCTAGAGGGAGCAGCACACCCTATCTTAATCTACACAGATCACAAGAATCTGGAGTATTTGAAGACTGCAAAACATTTCAAAACCTCGACAGGCCAGTTGGGCACTTTTCTTTTCCAGACTTATATTTCATATTACCTATTAACCAGGTTCTAGGAATTTTAACCCGATGCCTTGTCTCGAATGTTCGATGACCCCAAGGATCCTCCCATGCCAGATACTATGCTTTCAGCAGGAAACTTTTTACTAATACTAACAGACTTACTATCACAAATTCAGCAGGCATCACTGGGGGTTCTCTCTCCACAAGGAGTTACCTTATCTGCAAAAAAGGGCTTACTATGGTCTGAGGACAAAATTGTTGTGCCAGAAAGTGTTCGAGTAGCAGTCCTCCGACTTTGACATGATCACCCTCTGGCAGGACATTTTGGGGTCCACAAGACTACAGACCTGGTACAGCACCTGTTCTGGTGACCTGGAATGGAGAAGGATTGCAGGGGATATGTGAATTTTTGGTCTACTTGTATATGCAACAAAAGCAATAGAAACAAGACCTGGGGTTTTACTTAGGCCTCTACCAGTCACTGACCGGCCTTGAAAAATGATTTCAATAGATTTCATCGTAGAATTACCACCATCTGAGGGGCGTTCGGCCATCTTTGTTGTGGTGGATCAATTTTCTAAAATGGTTCATTTTATCCCCGTGAAAGGTGTACCATCTGCAATGAAAACTGCCCGAGTCTTCATAAAGGAAGTTGTGAGGTTCCATGGGGTTCCTGGGAACATTGTCTCTGATCGAGGAGTGCAATTTACATCGAAAACCTGGAGGCCACTTTGTGAATCACTAAAAGTGGAACTTACATTTTCCTCATCCACAGACTAAACGGATAGATGGAGAGAACCAGACCTTGGAGCAGCATATCCGCTGTTTCACGTCATTCTCACGTCACTGTTACCTTTGACTGAGTTTGTATACAACTCAAAGCACTTGGCCACGAAATAGTCTCCTTTCTTTGCAAATTATGGATTTCATCCTTTTTTTCTATCCAGATCTGTGCCCGAATCATCAATTCCAGCTGTGGAAATCACCCTTGAATTCCTTCAGCAGAATAAGAAGGTGCTACAGGAGGCAATCTCTAAAGCTCAGCAGGACAACAAGAAATACTTTGATAGGAAGAAGAAGGGGGACTTGATTTTGGAACCTGGTGAGGAAGTATGGTTGTCCACAACTAATTTAAAATTGTCATGTCCCATGAAGAAACTTGGTCCCAAGTTCGTTGGACCTTTGCCAGTAAAAAGGAAAATAAATGACATGTCTTATGAACTTACAATGCTAGACCCATTAAAGATTCATCCTGTATTCCATTTGTCTCTGCTTAAACCCTCAGTTTCTAATCCTTTTCCAGATTGGGAGTCGGGTCCGCCTGAACCAGTAATTGTCAACGGCGAAGAAGAATACAAGGTAGAGACAATTGTGGATTGCAGAAAGAGGAGGAATCAGCTCCAATATTTAATTAAATGAAAAGGATATGGGCCTGAAGGTAAATCGTGGGAACCAGAGTCTAATATTCGTGCTAAAGACTTGATCCTGGCTTTCAGACGCAAGTACCCTGAAAAACTGAAAGGTATCCGGAGGCTGCCCGTAAGGGAAGACAAGGACTACTCAGGCGCACATTGATGCGCCAATGCCAATTGCCCAACAGCCATGCCTGTTTCCATGCGAATGCACACACGTGCGTATGCCCGCCACCAGACTGGCGCCAGGTGGGCTATTTAAACCACACTGCACTATGAGTCCTTGCCATTTGGTCTACCACGTCTTGTTATCTGCTATCTGCTGTATCCTGATCCTGATGCCGACCTGACCTGTCTCGACCTCACATGAACTCCACTTGTACCGACTTGGCTGCAGGCACTGTGGATTGTTCCACAGTGCCTGCAGCTACGTAAGCCAATGAGGACTTAATTTAAAGCTCACCTATTGATAGAAGGAATATGTAAATACTTAAATGTCTTAACCTGGCTACAGGTTCACTTTAAGTGCTCCTGCAGCTTGATAAGTTAGGGCTCTTTTTTTTGTTTATAAATCTGGGAGGGCAGATCTTGCAAATTAATGACTGTCCTATAGTATATGTACAGGGTATATGTAGTTTATATGAGTAAATAATTGACTGTCATTAGTCTGGATACAGGTTCACTTATAGGCCTTCTAAATGCACTAAAGGCATTCTAAAGTGGCCTCAGCATCAATACTGTTGCATTTTAGAATGCCTTAAGTGCCAGTTAGCACGACCCAAACGTAATTTCAGTTTGATGACCAGAGCCAGTACTCTTCTGGGTATCATTTAGTGGCCCAGACAGCTCTAACATGAGAAAGTCTAAAGAAGCTGTTGTTTAGACCTGAGTTGTTCCTTAAACAGCAAAGTACAAGGAATCTCTTGTCTGACCACGTGAACATGTTTGTAGATTGGTTGGCATTGCGCTGGCTCTGGATCTGTTGGAGTTGTATGGCGGCGTAATGTTGATATACATGTTTTCTCTCTTTCATCAGGATTCCGTACTGCCTCACCACCTGCTTTCTGAAGAGCTTTCTGTTGTGCAGGCCCTTGTCTCACTTACGTTTTACTTAAACGTCCTGCCAATTTACTTTGTCAAACATCCAGAACGGCGCAGTATCACTGTGCCCATTGTGTGCTCTGCACTGGCAGATGTATAACAGAAAAGCAGTCATGCCGTTGGCAGTGCCGTGTCACTATCCTTTCCTCATCCATCCAGTTATTAGCACACTGTGGTTTATATCTGGCGGACACAATACAGCTGCAGATATCAGTGTGTTGTTACAAATCCCTTCATTTTAAGTAGCTGATTCCTGACTGAACTGGCATATCACATTCTTGTGGGAAAGCTAACCATTAATATTACATCGCAAGTGACAGTTATGATAAAAAGAGCTGCATGTGGGGAAAAAAAGTGTCATGATAGCAGCTGCTCTCTTGTTACAATGGCCTTTCAGAGAGTTCCAGCATGTTGCCGGAAACTTTAACATACTGCTCCCATGCAGGGGCGGACTTACCATTTGGAAACTCGGGCACTACCCGAGGGCCCGGGGTCAGTAGGGGGCCCCATGAGATGCCCCTGGTACATTTTTCATAGCCTTTTTAGAGTTTGGGCAAGGACACAGGGGCCCCATGATCCCCTATTGCCCGGGTGCCCCATGAGTTGTCAGTCCGCCCGCCCCTGCTCCCATGTTAAACAAGACTGTTCGAATGCCTTCAGGTTGCAAGACACTGCATGCCTGTTGCAGGGGACTATTATGATAGGAGAAGCTGCATGTGAAAAAAAAAAAGTCTCCCACATTACCGTAGCCTGTCAAAGACTTTCACCAAGAAAATTTAAAGGATAAGTTCGCCTTTAGGAACATGTTACAAGTTCCACCCGGTTTTAGGGTGGAGCATGTAGCATGTTCCCACTCCTGCAGCCGCTTCCCAACCCGAGCCCCTGAATCTTCTCCCCGTACTTGCTGTCACTATTTGCAAACAGCGTGGCCATATGGGCTCTGCCCACACAGAGTTCTGTAAATGAATGAACTACAAGTGTCAACATCCTTTGCCACTATTTGCGACTTTTGGCTTGTAATTCTCTATGAGCACTCTAGGTAATTGATTCTGCCAGTTTTTGTGAATTGGCCTGCCCGTACAATGTACAGACAGACAGATTACATCAACAGTCTTTAGGAGTCCTGCAATCTGCTGATAGTAAAACAAATAGTAAATGTTAATTTCTTTATCGCACATCATAGGACACAAAGCAGGCTATAATTACAATCTCCTAGATTGTAAGCTCGAAAGAGCAGGGCCCTCGAACCCCTCGTGTATCACATTGTATTGGTATTGTTCTGTCACATGTTCTGTCCCCCTTTGTAATGTACAGTGCTGAGCGAACTATTGGCGCTTTATAAATACTGTATAATAATAATAATAATAATTATTACTATCTGGGTTATGCGCCACCTGTAGGTGAATGGACACTGGCAGATCAATCAAACAGGAAGCCTTCCCTTATATAACGCCTCCTATACAGGAAGAACTTCCGTTTTTTTTGCCTGTGTCTGTAAAGTGGATGGTCACTAATGTGCTACATGGGCTCTTGGAGGTTCAGAACAGTTCATGTGTGAGTCAAGGACTGGAATCAGATCCATTCCGAAAGCGGTTAGCTAAAATGGATGGTACCCTGTTGGATAGGATAGGAGAATCCTTGAGGTTTGGCTGTATGCAGCCTTCTGGCACTGGACCTTGCGTAATGGAACCCTGTGCAATGTTTGTTCTGAACAAGGTGCTTTCCAAGGGTGCAATACAGGTCAAAGGGGGGTGGACCCCAGATGTAAGGAGGACCGAGTCATTGAAGGTCTTTTATGATAGAGCCCACCATGTTGGGTGAAAGTTGGACCCCTGTTATGATTCAGAGTCCTGAAACAGGAATGGTAAGTTTACATTTGCAGTGTTTCTTAAAAAATCTAACTGTCTGGTCATTCTCCTGGTGACCACTGGGGGCAGTGTGCTGTTTGGACTGGTTGAGCCATGCTCTGTGTGTCTCTGAAGGAGTATTGGGCTGCAGTTTTCTCGTCCAGCCACTAGAGGCTGCAGGGCCGCTCTGTATAGCCTACTCTTGTGCAGTGGAGGCAGAAAGTAGAAGGCTGACCATTTTGACTTATGGTTGAAGTCACGTGTGGGCTGAAGGATCAGGGAGGCTCCTGAGAGATAGCAGGGACACAGGGCAGTCTATGGCTGGATGATGATGTGTGAGTACAGCGGCGGACTGACAACTCATGGGGCCCCGGGCAATAGGGGATCATGGGGCCCCTGTGTCCTTGCCCAAACTCAAAAAAGCCTATGAAAAAGGTACCAGGGGCATCTCATGGGGCCCCCTACTGACCCCGGCCCCCAGGAAGTGCCAGAGTTTCTAAATGGTCAGTCCGCCCCTGTGTGGGTAGTACCTCTGGGGGAGCTGCACGACAAGACAGAACATGTTTATACACTGCATTAGTCTGCATAGTCCCAGGGGGCTTGTATAATGATTTTCTGATACACTCCTGCACAGGTATGAGTGCGCTTATATGAGTTGTTGTCCAGAATAGTTTGCATTTGATCTTCAGGAGCTTACATTCAGATTGCACTGAAGCAGCACAGAGGCTTGATGCATATGTGCTTGGCTAGCCCAGCAAAGTTAGTATAGGGCCAAGTGCAGTAAATTTCGACACGGTCCTTTGATGAAACAATATGCTTCTAGAAAGCAGTTGCAGCATTGTATTACATTATTGCATGCATACCTGTGAAATTATTTGAATAAGCTGCATATTTACAGTTGCATAAACTGCATATTTGTACTTGCATAAACTACATATGTGCAGGCATACTTAAATGCATACATTGCATACATACAGGCATACTTTCATGCATAAACTGCATACATACATACATACATATTTAGGTGCATACTTTCAAAGACTGTATACTTATACTTGCATAGACTGCATACATACCTGTCTTCTTAAATGCATACTTGCATAGACTACATACTTACATTTGCATAAACTGCATACTTACATGCATACTTGTGAGAACTGCATACTTTTATAATCTGCACACTTGTATGACTGAATACCTGTATACTTGAATGGATGGGGGAGTTTGCTTTGAATATTAAAAATGAATTAAAGAGCGTTTTTGCTTTATGGTTCTCAGATACAGTATAGTTTCTGCTTTAACCTTCCTAGTGGTAATCCCAAGTGTGGCTCAGGGTTCATTTATAGTACCAAAAGCGGTAATCCCGAGCCACACGCGGGATTACTCCATAGTGCTTCTCCTGCTTTCCCCCCGATCCGTACCTTGTCCTGCAATCCTGCGCTGTTCTCCCGCTGTGTCCTCCGGCAGATTCTGGCATCCGTCTTCCGTGTTCCGTTCCCTGCGAGCGTCGGTACGCACTGGGGTGGAACCGGTGGGAAATTCAAAGAAGTAAAAATATGACATACACACAATACATTGTAATCTGTTAGAATTACATTACTGTATCAAACCACTTCACCTAAATTTTGTCCCTAGTGTTTTGTCCTGTGCCCTGCCTGCACTTTTACTGTTTTTTTCTGCCTGAAAACTTGAGAACGTCCATGGCATCCAAAAAGCATCCCTTTAGGTCAAAAGCCATTTTAGACCAGCTAGAAAACAGCGATAATGAATTAGAATCACTTGCAGAATTGAGCGATAGCGATTCGTGGGGAAATTCTTCATCAGACACTGACATTATTGAATTAAATTTATTATTATTACGGTATATTATTATTTTTTATAGCTATTTATATTTTATGATTTTATGTGTTTATCATACCCGGGATGTTTACTAGACTCTTGTTTGGACAGGTTTAAGTGAGTTATTCCTAAGAATTACAGGCCTACAATATAAAATAACAAATTTCCATGCAAAACAATGTACCGCTTTGACATTCAAAAATATTGATTAGTTAGACCGCCAGGTTAAGTACCATTAAGGGTCAGATTTCAGCTCTATCCATTTGTTCCCAGAAACCATTGTTTCTCACTCCTTGATTCATACTTTGTGCAGGGTCTAATGCAGATGGTCCCATCCGTCAGGCCACCCTTGTGTCCTTGGGACTTGAACTTGGTCTTCGCTGTCCATGCAGAAGCCACTTTTTGAACCAATTCAAGAAACTCTGTTATTTCTTTTACTTGGAAGGTGGCATCTTTGTTTACTATCACTTCGGCAAGAAGAGTGTCAGAGTTTGCGCCAATTTCATGTCTTTCAAGGAGCCTTTTTGGTCTTGCATCATGATATGGTGATGTTGCGTCCTCATCCACCTTTCTTGCCTAGAGTGGTTTCTAGTTTTCACTTGAATCAGGACACTGTTTTTTCCTGTCTTTACCTAGTCCACAGGATCGCTGCATACCCTGAATGTAGTTTGGGTGGTTGGGATTTACTTGAGTTTGACAGCACAAGTCAGGAATCCTGGTTTTTGCTGCCAGAAGGACACAGGAAAAGCAGCTGGCATCCAAGTCAAGCCTATGGTTTGAAGGGTAAGGTCCCACCCTTTCAATGTGGGGGAATATTGGGCTATCCGCCATGGCCGCTACATGGTCTTTGGTTAATACATTCACAAGGTTCTACGAAGTGGATGTCTACGCAAGTGTGATTTTTACAGGTAAGTACCATGCATAAAATCCATTAAATGCACATAGAATCTTAACCGAGAAGTATGTTGTTTTTTTTTTTTTTAAATCATACTTACCTAGGTGGATGCAGCATCAATCCAATACTGCATCTGTCACCCGCTGTCTCTAAGGGTGAGAAAATAGTGATCAGACACAGCTGATCACTCAGTTCTCCTTGCCGCTCTAAGCAGAGAGCTGGTGACTGTCAGTCACCACAGTCTGCTCTGCCCCCACCCCAGCACTCACTGGAGCGCTGGACTGTGGGGGGAGCAGCTAACTTAGGCTCTCAGTGGCTTGCTGGACCAAGGTCTAAAGGAGTTCTGTCAATGCATAAAGTGGTACTTGAATAAGAACAAGCAGGCTTTCTCAGCCAGGGGTTTTGCACAGGTTTCTAGGAGTTCCTTGGACAGATTGATCTCCAACATACATGACCACTAATGCAAGAGAGCAATTTCCCATTGACATCCAATGTAAGGGTTCACTTCTATACTGATCTAGGGGGTTTTCTTCCACTGGCCACCATCCAAGATGGCAGTGCCCAAAAGAAGTCTTAGGGCTTTTGGATGTCTACACAAGTGTGATTTTTACAGGTAAGTACCATGCATAAAATTCATTAAATGCACATAGAATCTTAAACGAGAAGTATGTTTTTTTTTTTTGGTTTTTTTTAAATCATACTTACCTAGGTGGATGCAGCATCAATCCAATGCTGTATCTGTTATCCGCCATCTCTAAGGGTGAGAAAATAGTGATCAGATACAGCTGATCACTCAGTTCTCCCTGCCGGTTCAGGCTCCTCGGTGGTCCAGGCTCCTCAGTGGATCCCGACCATATGGTCACAATCTTTCCCCAGCCTGGACTGGCTGAGTGATGTCAGCCGACAGCAGACATCACTGCTGCTGGCTGAAAATGGGTCACAGGAATGCAGAGCAAACTACACCCCTATAATCCACAGGAGAAGTACAGCCAAAAGAGCTTTGGTTGTACTTCTTTAAGGAAAGATTTGTATTGAAATGAATGATCAGGT